GCGGTTTTACGGTGTACGATCGAGATAGAGATAGAGAGAGAGAGAGAGAGAGAGAGAGAGAGAGGGGGGGGAGGGGGGAGAGGGGGAGGGAGAGACATTACGCGTGCCGAGAGATAATCAAGGTAGGTCTACGGCTCAACGTCGATGCGTAAGAATCAACTTTAGCCGCGCGTTGGCGAACGCGCTCGCCGTCTCTTGTTTCCTCATCAACCGCTAACAACCCCGGTTATCCTCAACTTTACTAGGTACACTCGCGACCCCCTGTCTCCCTCGGGGCCATCGAATCGCCGTTTAAATCGTTGGCGAGGCGCTCTCTACGGCGCGTAACACGATGCGAGCGCGTAGTTAGGACTCGCTCTCGCGTGCTCTCCTATCTCGCGGGCGCATCTCTCCGCGCATTTTCCTCGCGAGCAGCGATTTTATTCGCCGGCTCTCGAGTTTCGGGAGCGGACAACGATCGCGAATCGAGCCCGATCCGATCGGATCGGACCGGCGACAGTGGCCGATGCTCGCTCGCGATAACTCCTTCCGCTACCGGATTGCTTTCCGCGTGAGCGAGAGAAGAGGCCTCCTTCTCACAGCGGCGGTGGCGGCGGCGGCGAGGAAACCGGCTAATATAATCCAGATCCTATCTAGGCCGCCACTGACGTGTGGGCGAGAAGCTGCGTCTGTGCGTGTGATATTCGCGCGAATGCGTGCCTGCGTGCACGCACCAAGTCGCGGCCAAGTGCACGGGGGCGTGGTGGTTCGGACAGCGCTGGGAAAAATTAATACGGCATGCTCAGGCATCGTTTGGCGGTCGTTTGATTTTTGCGCGAGGTGCGCGATTGCTCGTCGCCGCCAATTCCCGGGGGAATTCACGGCAGCCGCGATGCTCGCGTGCGATATTGGTCGTGTCCGGGACACTTTCGCATTCTGCCCCCTCCTCCTCCTCCTCCTCCTCCCCCCCCCTCCCACTTTCCGAGGCGCGTACGCAGCTCTACCTGGGCGCGCGGCGGTGTCGTTACGAGTCAAATCAGGCCCCACGGTTCGATGGCCGCTCGCGATTTCATTGTTCCACTTGGCGGGCTGACCGCATGAGCGGGCACGAGCGCACGGGCGTTTTATTTCGCCGTGGCTCGTTTAATACGGAGTTTTACGAACCGCGGCTACCGAAACGCGTCACTCGAGATGGCGGAGCGCCCCGTGACGCACAGTGGCACTTTTCAGCCGCTTTTTGGACAAATCAATCTGTAGGCCTCAATTCTTGACGTATCGGAATAATTTTTCTTTTTTAATGAAAGGTTATTTTTGTGAGAAAAAAGTCGAGGTCGATTTTCGATAATTGCCTTCATATACTAATTAAACTAAGCAAAAAACTGAAAAGAAAATGTAAATCATTAACTCATTGAAGCAACCTAAGATATCACCCAAATAAGTTGAAAACGTATGATATGTTCAAAGTCGGGCCCCTATTTGTTATAAAAAATCATAAACAATTTCATATAATGCTGTACCCCTTATTGCCCATGACTAACTCAGCTGGGATCATCCAAATGACATCGTCTAGTGTGACAAAAATAACATATTTAGCGCAAGAAGGTTACAAAGTATGTAGATTTGTTATAACAAAATTGTCCTCACGAACAACAAAATATGTAGCTCTGATCTGGTGTTTTCTTAACATCACTTGACTTAATTTCCAAAGCGGAATCGATTGGCAGCATCAGATTTTTAAAGCAATCATTTTTTAAACATATTGTTTAAACAACTTCGTTATAAACAAATTATTTTTGCAACTTTTTTCTGCCGAATTTGTTATTTTTATCATACCAGAGTATTCCATGTGTCATTTGGATGATATCTCAGCTGGTTAGCCGTAGGCTTCAATGATTTACATTTTTTTTTCAATTCCTTGCTCAGTTTAATTAATCTTTCATTAGAAAAGAAAATTATTCCGATACGTCAAGAATTGAGACCTACAGATTGATTTGTCCAAAAAATGGCTGAAAAGTGCCATTGTGTGGCGCGGCGGCCGCACGGACGGGCGCGTATGTATAAAACTTTGACTCTTTGGAGGCCTTAAAAAACGGCGTCTCTTCGTTCTTCGAATCTAAACCGCGCAGTTTTTATGATCGAGGCATCCGTATGCTGCCAGAACGTTGGGAAAAGATTATAGAAAACGATGGAGAATATATCATTGATTGAATAAAGATTTTTGTTTGCCTAATCACTGTGTGACTTTTACTCACAAACTCCGCACGAACTTTTGCACTCACCCAATACTATCAAAAAGTATCCGAACATTATTTTTTAAAAATCGCGGGTAAACTGTAAATCAAATCCGTTTGCTTTCTTGAGTACCAACTCAAAATCATAGCGTTCCTTCAAGCCGCTTGAAGGAAAGTGGCAGTTGTTAGTATGTCAGTGAAGATTGTTGCGCACGGCGATTTTTACGATGTCGAAAAATATGGAGTCAAAGATTTGTTTGAAATTTTGTGTTGCGAGCGAAATTTCGTTCACAAACGCATTCAAAATGTTGCAAACAGCTTATGGCGATGACTGTTTATCGGGAACAAATACGTTTGAGTGGTTTAAGAAGTTTCAAGAAGGACGAGAATCCGTTGAAGACGACGCTCTGGAAGACCATCAACGTCAACGGATGACGCTCACATTGAGAAAATGAAAGAATTATCGGTGCACCAAAATCGTCGATTGACTGTGCGAGAGATAGCAGATGAAGTTGGAATATCATTTGGATTGTGTGCCAGCACACAATTCGTGAAAGAAACGATCGGAATTGGTGGGAAAACAATTCGTGGATTTTGCATTACGACAACGCGCACCATCGCGTACCTCGACACTTGTGCGTGAATTTCTGACTCAAAAAAACTCAACGACATGACTCCCTGCGACTTTTTCCTGTTGCCCCTGTTGAAAAAACTACTTCGCGGGCAGCGTTTCGAATCGACTGAGAACACTGAGAAAAAAAATCGCTGCGTATGAGCGATGTTTCCAGGACTGGATCAAACGCTGGCATATGTGCGTTGCAAGCAATGGGGACTACTTTGAAGGAGACTATAAGAATTTTGATGATTGAATTGTAATTTTGATTTTTAAATATAAAGTTCGGATACTTTTTGATCACGGTGGTAGTGATAAAACTGATGCGGAGCGAACCGTGCACCGATACGAATAGCGATAATCGACGCGGAGCGCCGAAGATTCGCGTAATCGGCGGATGCATCACGGTAACGACTACACGGCGATAAAAGCTAATGATCACCTTCGTTCGCGCCTTCGACCTTCGGCCGATAAGCGGCGCCGAATTTCCTTTCCCGGCGCGCGACTAATTTTCTCCGCGAACACGCGAGAGATCTGTTTCTCGACTGACCCGCGCCGGCGAAAATGACCGCCGCGAGATACGCGCAAACGAGAGGCGCGTTATTAAACGCGTGATAATACGGTGAAAGGCGAAATTGCGCTGCGATAATCGAGTTGTAATATCGCGCGATACGCAATACTTGTCTCACAGACGTGTGCAGCTCGCGCTCGAGCTCCGCTGTCTAAATATTCCACTTTGGAGAGCTACTTCTCCGGAGAATCGTGACAGACGGCGAATTTGTTGGCCGAACGCGCGCAGGCCGCTCGGCTGTAACAAATCGCTTCGCGATTTTGCGACATTTACGGAGCCTCGTTGCGGTGACTCTTTCGTGTCACCTTGCGCTCGATCTCGAAGGAAGATGACGTTTTCGAAAGTGGCGGGCGTCACTCACACACGCACACACACACCACCCCGGCGATATCTGCTCTCGATAACTTGCGCACTTTCACCGAAATACTTCCGAAAACAGATTCCGAAAACAGACCTCGCTCTTATACAACGACGCACCGAATCGGCCCGCGACGACGCCTACCTAAATTCGAGAGAACGAAAAAGGTGAAGTGCGCGCGTTCATCTCGTAACGGTTTCGCGTATATTCCGTTCCTGATCGTCTCGTGGCGCGCAGGATCTCCGCTCGCGAAGACGCGATTAAGGACGCGCAGCGTCGCTGCGAGCCTCCTTGCTCTCGATGCTCGCGCCCGCGCGTCTCCTGAGAACGCCGATCTTCTTCGCGGCCGAAGAAAGGGAAGAAATCGCGCGAAAGTGGCTTGGAGCGAATCGCACGAACATCATGAAATGCGAGCGGAAAAGAATAAGGGGGAGAAAGAAAGATCGAAGGGATCGACGATGTCAGACGACGGTGTCGTCGTCGTCGTCGTCGTCGACGACGTGGTTGATCCAGGTCCTCGATTGGGAACGAGACGTGACGCCAGGCGACAACTAATTAGGCCTAAAAGGCCAACGATCGCTTTCATAGTGTGCCGCCTTGGCTGCATCCATCCACACACATAGACACGCACATATGCGTGTCCACGTGTGCGTGCGCGCGCACACACGGATGGAGAATGTACGCGCCGTAACGAAGACGGCGTAAAGGACCCGGTGCCACTTGAGATCGGCGCGAGTGGTCTCCTTCCTCCCGTCGAGAAAAACCGGCACTCGTGTTTGTCGAGCGGTTCACATCGACGCAATTTATGGAAAGCGGGGGATGTTCGGCTACATCCCGGCGAGAACTGTCCCGTCGTGTTCGACGTGTAGCGACAGCGCGACGATTTGGACAATCAAGCGGGAACGAAATAATCTTGCCTTAAAAAGGCAGCCAATTTCAATTACCGTCTCGTATCCGTGATGCCGATCGCCTATCTCGGTCTTGATCTCGATCTGAATTGGTATTTACCGCGAGAGTGGCTGTCGTTGCGGGGGGGGGTTGCTTATTTTAAAAGTTTGCACGATGCTAAGATTGCGTCTTGAATTATGGTAGCACCCTCGAATATCCCGAGGTTATAACAATAATTTTTTTCATTCTTGTCGAGTTTAAGGAAGCTTATTACTATGTACTGTCTTGAGCCGTTGGCTCGAGTTTCATACTTTGACGTCTGCCAATATAACCAAGCAGAAAACTCGCTTTTTGTTTCAGATTTAGTGGAGTTGGTGACCACACGATGAATGCGGTTTCCGGAGAGCTGCAGTTCTCCGGCAGATGCGGATGCTGTACCGGAGGATCCGGTTCGGCATCCGCCAGGTAGGAGCGGCTCGAAGGTAAATTAATTTTTTAACTTTTCTCACATACATTTACATTTAATCATTTGCAATCGAAAATTGAAACATAGTTTTTTAAATAAAATTTGTTGAATCGTGATTCAAGCAAAGGGTTAATAAACTCTATTTATCTGCTCCTTGTTTTGTGAACTCGTAAATCTGATCAGCGTAATGTATCTTTCTGTTGCAGATATGAAAGCTGAACATGCGGATGCTGCACCGAAGGATTCGGTTCGGGCCAAACAGAGTCGGCTCGAAGGTGAGTTTATTCTAACTTTTCTCGCATATACTTACATTTAATCGTTTGCAAATTGAGACCTAGTTGTTCGGGGGAGTGAATAAAAAATCAAATAAAAATCTTTAAATTGTGACTTTAAATTGTGAAGAGTTAACAAACTATCCACTCGTTCATTATTCTGCGAACTCGTAAATCTAATCAGCGCAATGTATCTTTCTGTTGTAGATACAGGAAAGCCGAACGTGGCCGGCTCTGAGTTCCGGTATTTCGGTGAGTGATAAAAATGGATTTGATGAGTAAAAGGTGATGGGAGTTAGAGTGAAGAGTATTTATAAGATTCGTTGAAATCGATGCGATTTACTTGTAGATTTTTGCATGATTTGCACTTACATACCGAGAAAAAAGATCAATCTCGTTAAAATTCTCGACATTTTTAACGGTTGTATATTTTCATATCGCTACAAAGATATAATAATAACAATATGCATGTATATATGAGGTTATATATTATTACTAATATTATAATAATTATAATATAGAATTACAAATGCTGAACCATAAATATCGAATTTTTTCTCAATACGTATGTGCCATTGTATATGAAATTTACTGTTTAAAACAATCAGGGGATCGCACTCTTTTAAGTGCCTATATAAATATCTTGATTATTACATAACTCTCTATTGCATATGATCATAAGTTTCAGTAAATATATTTATGTAAATGCAATAATTTTAATTACATAATTAACTTGGTAAGATCCCCGCAAAATTATTCAGCAAGATTATTCATTCGGTATGTGATCCCTTGATTGTTTTAAATATTCTGATGGGCATAGGCCCATCAGAATTGCACCAATGCCCGCGGACGTGCTATTATTTTGCTCGCGTTGAAGGATTTAGTAATCATCGCGGATATTAATATTTTAGATTCCTCGCGTGCATACATTCGCGTTGTTATTTCTGCGTTTCGCAGGAAAGATTTTCGTCAAGTAAATCTCGCGGTCGGGAGTAAGCTTCGCGATAAAATTCCGCAAAGCAACTTCAGTTTATCAATTTCACATTTCATTTCGTGATAGGCGCGATTAATTTTTAGCTCGCAATCAGTTACGTGTAGAGTCACGGATGTGACTTCAGGATTAACGAAATTTATCGTATTGTAATTGTGTGTTCCCGAAAGCATAAAACATTAGTTACATCGCCATATAAATATTTACTGAAAGAATAGGCGAATTTCTATTCAGTCGTTTGTTAATCGGAGTTGCAAGTTTCGTTTCGAGGTACATCAAAATTATTACGATTATTTTCCGATTTTCTATTCTCACGTTTGCGCGTCGTGATTGCCTTTGTTCATATTCGATCTTTCGATTGTCGATTTTAAATTAAATTCCGTTGCGTCAAATTCGAAGAACTATTACGAACATGGACTTCGCAAAAATACTGCGGAGTGGACTTCGCAAAAATATTGCGAGGCTGTACAGGGGAGTAAACTTCTCCCTAAGCTGGCTACAGCTGGCTTCAGCCAGCCTCCTCGATGACTAATGTAAGCCATCGTGCGTGAGATCTTCACGCCACTTTTCACCACTTCGTTCGCGTACAGCATCGAGTTACCTCGGTTACCTCGTGATCGGTTTTCAATTCGCGAGCTTTTCACGCGATTCGCGAGTGTGTTCCTAAAATAACTTTATTGTACCGTGAGCCTGTCCGCGAGTGTATCCACAAAGTGATAGAACTGAACGCGCAATGGACCAACTTATTAATCGAGCTCATAAATTCCGTATACCGAGATTAATCGGAACCGCTCGTTTTCGTTAACGCTGTCGAAATATTTGAACAACATCGTTAAGAATAATGCGAGTATTAATCGCGTCGCGAGTGGAATGAAGTAGCAGTCAACGTGGGACCATGCAGCGGCACTTTCGTCGATGGACCAAGCTGGGCATGGATGGATTTCAACGCGAGATGGTGAGTGTCCAATTTCGACACTCGCAAAGTGTAATTTTACGTAGTGCATGCACAAAATAGTAAATCGCATTGATTTTCAACGAACAGAGTCTGGGCATGGTTCTATACTGTCACATAAGACTCTGTGTGTAACTAATTGTTATTCCGACAATTTTGCGACATTCCGCATATCTTTGATTATGAAAATTGTTACATATGTATAATATATCGCTAAGATCATATATTTTTATTGCGACATTCTGCATATTTTTAATTATGGAAATTGTTATATATGTATAATATATATATCGCCAAGATCGGCATACAACGAGAGTTTACACACACTTAAAAATTAAAACAACGCCTAACTAGTACGCGTCTACATAATACACAACAAAATTATACATTTCCGCGTCTATCTTGAGCGCAAAATCGCACTTAAACCTTCGCGCTTGAACCATGAAGCTTACCTTGTTCTCATAGTAAACCCTTCAGTTAGCATCGAATTAATTCCTCCCGAGATCGTATAGCGGACAAAGCGCTCGAGTAAAACTCATTAAGTTAGCGAACGACAGAATTTAATCGTGGGACAAGCTGCCTCGCGATATCGCGCGGGTACTCCGCGCGTTACCTGTAGGAAAAAGTGAAATGCGCAGCCGGAAGGAGACCGGCCTCGCCGTTGGAAAGACGTTGATTAGGGATGACCGTTTCAAGCGGATGTGAAGTAATCACCGAAGAGCACCCGGTAGTGCGATAACCTATCGCGTGGCGGCCGATAGGAGTATGTTCTGGTCTCCCATCGCGAGAGCTCAGCCACGAGTAATTTTCAAGTGATGCCGTTTACAAGCTAAATCACGACGCGTGATTCTCGAACGCCTCTCGCGATCCGATATCGGTGTTCAATTAACACTCCGACCGGGTGAGTGATTTGCGTTTACATCCGAAAGACACGCGTGAATTCCTGCCGGCTGGAATTTCATAATATCTGGAATCAGCTTTCACGTTAACACGTGCGCGCTTATTTATTATCGTCCGATCCGCCGCGCGTGACACTATCCGCAATACGTGAGGATAGGTGAGGAAGGGAAGAGGGGGGAGAGAACGGAGGTCCACCCGCATGTCGCGACACTTGTCGCGGGGGGGAACAACGACGAGCGATGGGGAGACGGCGACTTCGACGAGGACGGCGACGGCGACGTAGGAGCATAGCATCGCGTCGCGATAAAAGGCGAGTCCGATACCAAAAGCGAGTACGTACAGCGGGGTATCAGCGATACAGCGGACAGGCATTGTTCCACGGCGAGAGAGGCCTACGTGGTCGTGCTTTATGAGCGGCCGATAGTCGTACGTATGTCCACGTGGACACAACCCCTTATACAGGGTGGCCCGGTCGCGATCTGTCAGACCTACGCGTGCCCGCAATTTCGCGTCGCGCATTTCGGCTGGATTTTGAGCGCCAGTCTCCTCCAAATGTTACTCTCGGCATGAGAATATATTTCATACGTGCAGTATTCCGCTCAATCGTTAGAGACACGCGCTCACTCAAGTGAGCCCCCCTCAAGCTCCAGCTTGGCTCATTTGAGCTAAGAGCTCGGAGCTCTCAAACGATCCCGAGCGAGAAAAGTTCGGGAAAATCGAGCGAGATGTGTAACCGTGTGAATTTCGCAAACCTTTATGACGAATGCGCATCTTTATCGTTGCCTCGGCTGGGAGATAACGCACGACATCGTGCAAACAGGACTTCATGAATACGTATCGCGATACATCGAAATATATACCGGCACCGCCATTCTTTCTCCACGAGCTTTATCTAAACAGCTATTTCCCGCAGCGCGATAGAGCCTGCGTGTACATGTGTGCGTTAACCGGCAACAATAGCTCGGCTAATTATCTATCTCGGGAACGCTCGTCAGCACGTAATTTTTATGGAGCTTGCACACCGGCGCTCGCGTCGCCCGTGCGGAATCGATTTTACGCCCACTCGTTTCACGGAGTCGCTCGCCGTGTTAACATTTCGCCTCGTCGCCGGACACGTGCACGCTCTGATTGTACACGCGATTAAATAATTGCGTAACCGCGACCTCTCTCTCTCTCTCTCTCTCTCCCCCCCCTCTCTCTCTCTCTTTCTCTCTCTCTCTCTCTCTCTCTCTCTCTCCCTCTCTCTCTCTCTCTGCGAGTAATCGGCCGTTTTCGCCGGCCGCTCTCGGCGGCGTGAGCGATCGGCTGATTTTTCGTCGATCATCGTCGATATCTCGAATTTTTTAATCTCTCTCTCTCCCCCCCTGGACCCCTCGAATCTGCGATATCTCCCACGCCACGCTCATCGCTTCGGCCGAAGTTTCTTTTACGCTGCGATAAGGGCGAGTAAACCCTTCTTCTAAACACAAGGCGAGAGCTCGCGGATAATCTTTATGGCGACGTGTATGGAATTCTCCGGCAGGCATCCAGCGATCGCGGCATCAGAGGACGATTTTAATTGCCGCGCGGAATAAAAGCGCTCTTAGGTCGCGCACGGAGGGAGGGCTTGAGGAGGGGGGTTGGTGGATGAAAAAAAAGAGTGAGAAGTGTTCAGGTAACGGGACGGGAACAGACCGCGATGGCGACTCATGGACGGCTCTGGAGAGTATCTCGTGCAGCAGATGCTGCATCGTCGACGACGTGTCTGGCACGGAATCGCGTCGATAAATCGCCGCTTCATGGCCGCTTTGAAGTCTCGATAAAAACGTTAACTACTTGTTCAATTATTTCGAGTACGGTTCGAGCCGAGTTGTCGCGTTCTTCGCCTCGTCTCCGTCTCGTTTTTTTTTCCTTTTTCACCGCTTATGCACGATCGTGGAACAGGCGTGCTCGGACGGATACTTCGTTTCCAATTTCGTGCTTCAGAGATAACAGTCGACTTGATAACGAACCTATGATGGCCGTCTGTTGCACACAATATCGCAGATGCGACACTGTTAGCATCATATATCATGCAGTAAAGCGTTTTGTATTTTCAATCGTGATATAACTTCGTCGACCGCGAATAAAATACAACTAGCCACACGTGAAGCGATTCGCGATTTATCAGCAGCGTGTTGCTCGCGCTTTTCCGAGATATCTGTCGAATTATTACCTGGTCAGGAAACCTCAAAATGGTCATATGAACAGCATTCGATTGTTTTAGTTTTCGCTCGCGGCCGCGCTTCAATGTTGGCTCGCAACGTTTCATTGCATTTCAGCGTTTCTTCCAAAATCATTGTCACACACTGAGAAAAAATTGTATTAAAATTAAACAAGTCTTTGTTCGAATACGACTGTGAATACATTTATTCAAATTAAGCGACTAATTTCTAAAATGAAGTACAGAGGTTCTCTCTCTCTCTCTCGCTCTCTCTCTCTCTTTCTCAATGTAAACTTTTTTCTGGAATTTTAGAAAATAATTGCTTAATTTAAATAAATCTATTCACAGTCGTATTAGGACAAAGATTTGTTTAATGTTTTTACAGTGCATTATTACGCAATTTATTTAATCTCACATCTCTCGACTCTCTCTCTCTCTCTCTCTCTCTCTCTCTCTCTCTCTCTCTCTCTCTCTCTCTCTCTCTCTCTCTCTCTCTCTCTTTCTTTTTCTCGCTGAAAATTGAGCAAAGTGAACCTAATACACGCGTAAAAAGCAAAAACCGCGCAGCATCCCGCGTGAGAATCGCGAGTCTCTCCCCGCAGTCGCGGATTGCGCCAAATGGCGGAGCAACAAGAGCAATCCTCCACCCCGACCGCTCGGCATCTACATATCCAGCTGAAAGGGCTGGAACACGACCGCCCTCCCCACCCGCTCTCTTGCTAGCATTTCTCTCCCCGCGATAATTAACGTTAATGAGCGAAACTAATTGATATCGGCGACCCGGCGGCTAACATCAAATCGCTCTTACAATTACAAGTTGCTGTTTTTTTCGATTCTCTCGATAGGCCGTTAATCACCGCCGCTCGCCCTAAATCACCAAAGTTTCGTCACGCGAGGTCGCATCCCGCGCCATTCGTCACACGTCGGAGACTACTCCGCGGTCGCGAGATTCCGGCGACACTGGGTATATTTCGCAGCGGCAGCTGTCCTTCCCGCCACTGCAGTGGTGATTTTGCGAGAGGTGAACCCGCGATATCGATAATTACCGACGGTGACCGGCCTTTGCATCGTGGCTTCCCGTCACCCTTTTCCTCTCCCCCCCTCCCCCTGATCCTCGCGAAAATTACTAGCGCGCATTGTGGCACCAACATTTTCGCGCGAATTAGCCGCCGGTCGTCGCGGACGGACTTTACTCGCGTCCGATCGGTATCTCACGCTTCCTATTAATTTTAGCCCCCCCCCTTTCTCCTCCCTCCTGTAATTTCCCCATTGGCTAGAGGGATGAGAGGACACTCGAAGTCGGCAGTCGTCCCGACTCCGGCGTGGAAATTCGCGAGCAGCGCGCTCGCACAGGCTCGCTAGTTTCTGCGCGAACCACCGACGCGCCTGTTATCGCTAATTAATGTCAATACGCGAAAACGAGTGTGATAATGAGCCTCGTCTATGTGTGGCCGCAATAAATACACTATGATTGCGATACAATGCGCATCCTGATAAGCGGCCACCGCGCTCGCGGTCGGCGTTCGCGTGACGCAAAACGGCGTTTGTTATCGTACCCGTTTGTTATCCTCCGATCCGCGATGATGATCGCGACGGTCGAATGCGACTCGCAGAAAATTCGCTCGAAAATTAATATCACCCCGCTAATTGATGGCCGGCTCCGGTGTCTGAAACTTGGTTCCAACGGCGACCAATTGACCCGGTAATGCGCACGAATAGTTTTCGCGATATGACTCGCGAAGTACGAGTGCTTCGATAAATCGCGCGAAGTGTTTTCCAGCGAAGGGTCTCGTACTCACGTGTTATCAGTCAGCGGTTGACATCCTCGTCTTGCAGAAACGTGTTCGGCCGAGAAGTCTTGGTGATTCGGCAGATCGCGCGTGCTGGTCCCTTCGGTACTCTGTCCGAGCGATCGCGCGTACTGTTTCGCGTGTCACTTTTCACTCTCTCTCTCTCTCTCTCTCTCTCTCTCTCTCTCTCTCTCTCTCTCTCTCTCTCTCTCTCTCTCTCTCTCTCTCTCTCTCTCTCTCTCTCTCTCTCTCTCTCTCTCTCTCTCTCCCTCTCTCTCTCTCTCTCTCTCTCTCTCTCTCTCTCTCTCTCTCTCTCTCTCTCTCTCTCTCTCTCTCTCTCTCTCTCTCTCTCTCTCTCTCTCTCTCTCTCTCTCTCTCCTTCTCTCTTGGAGTCGTGTACTCTGACGAGCAAGTAACTGGTTCTCCCCTTTATCTGACGAACGGCTGACGCAATATAATTGCGGCGAACTGCTCGACTAAAAAGTGTGTCCGGGTATTCGCGACCGATCACACTTCCATGCCGCGCGGAGCCGCTTCGACGCGTGTTGAGGTCTCCGACGGGACAAATGTTGACGCTAGATCGTTCACTCACGTTCAACGGCAACTCCCTCGCGTACGCTTCGTGCTGATTCTTTCCTGCTCGTCAGCGGGTAGTTAGAAGAGGCTTTCTTAGGTCGAAGAAGCGTGCTTTACCTGCCGAAACTGAGATCACGATCGGGTCGTTTCCTTTCTTGGGAAGGACACTCGTCTTGCCGCATACTGCGTCTTCTCTCCCTTGCACTTCATATAGTATAAACGTCTTTTTTCTGTCGAACCGTCTTTCGAAACGACCTTTTTTCGCTTCACGAGAGGCTTGACGATGCCAACAGGCGATCGAAGACAAGTCCGGATGACTAAGCCGAGTCGAGTCCTCTGCGATTGATGAGATCGGCCCGCTCACTTCTCTCCTTGAGGCGGGAATTTAATTCAAACGGGAAACCGTCAGCCGCGCGAAGACCTCTGATAACGTAACCGACGGTTGTCCAATGATCAGCGGTATCTCCATTCTATATCCAACTGGTCCTCCGCGCAACGTCTCCGGAACGTCTCGTTACATTGGAATCACCACCAATCTCGGAGTGTGTATCCTTCACTGTCCACCAACACGCTCGCCACAGAACTAGCTGCGAGGCAGCACCTCCTCCACTATCTCAGAACATATCGGTCACTTCCGTCCGTCGCCAAGTGGACTCCAATGATCCAAAGTTTCCGAGATCACTGTGAAATCCTATGTATCCCTGAGTCATTGAAATAGTCTTCGGCGACGTCAGTAATTTGATTATTCCTCCGGTTAGATACCGTCTAGTTAAGATATCGATCCGGCTCCATCGGCCAATCGGCTTCTCCAAAATTCTCAGGACACCGCCACACTTCCTGCTGGATCCTACGGCTCCACGCTCGCGTCGGTGTCTGTGTGTGTGTGTGTATGTGTGTGTGTGTGTAGGTGTGTATGTGTGTGTGCATGTGTGCACGTGTGCGGGTGTATATGAGATAACCGCGGGACTGCCTCCAGGACGTGGTGCAGCCGATGACTGCGTCTTTGAAACTGTCCTGGACAGTCACCTCTCCAGCTGGAGCAGCGGGACGAGGAGAAGCCGCGGTGCGGGAGGCGACGGCGATGCCGGTCGAGTAGGGTCAAGCTACGCGGGGCAGGGATGGGTCCGACTTGGGGAGCAAAGGGGCTGAGGGGAAGCAACGGACGAGGACAAACGCGACTGGGGAGGGACCGATGGGTCGTTCCATGCTTCTGATTCCGACCAAGGTGACCGGACTAGGCGGTTCTCCAGACCCGACCGCGGTTACTTTCAGGGGCGGAGCGAAACACGTTCGCGTGTGGAAACCTGGGGCCCGTGATCGAGAGGCGGCGACCACCTCCACACCCGGGATCGATTTTCATAAAATCTTTTTTCACCCGCCCTTTCTCTCGCTCTCTCGCTCTCTCTTTCCCCCCTCCCTCCCTCCCTCCCTCCCTCTCTCTCTCTCTCTCTCTCTCTCTTTCTCTCTCTTCTTCTTCGCTCTCTGTCTCGCGTTTCGCTCTTTCCGCGTCTCCGTCGTCGTGGCCGTCGCGAGCGAGCGAGCGAGCGAACGTTCGATCTCCGTCTCTCCTCCTCGAGCTCGCCGGCGCTCGGCGTTGGCGTCTCCTTTCCACCTTGTCGAGCGCCTATAATGTCCGACCAGATCGGACATGGATAAGAAAGTGCGCCGGGTCGTTCCTCATGGATATCTTCGGGTATCCGCGCCGCCTTGAGTCTGACTTATGGACTACCTCGGTACACCGTCCGAGGCTTTTTGGCTCGCTCGCGCGCAAGCTTTTTTCCACGCGGTTTCTTCCGTGCGAGCGTGCGTGCGTGCGTGCGTGCGTGCATGTCTCGATGGCTACAGTTCAGGCCTCGAGTCGGTATAATTCTTGTTGTTATGAAATTAGCGGAGTACAACCCTCGAGAACGCGCACACAGCTCTCAATCGATCCTCTCTCTCTCTCTCTCTCTCTCTCTCTCTCTCTCTCTCTCTCTCTCTCTCTCTCTCTCTCTCTCTCTCTCTCTCTCTCTCTCTCTCTCTCTCTCTCTCTCTCTCTCTCTCTCTCTCTCTCTCTCTCTCTCTCTCTCGGGTGTAGGACTCGAAGAAGGACATGAAACATCGCGATCAGCGCGAGCAAAGCGAGACGAGAGGTCGAATCTCGCGCGACACATTTTTTGCAAATACCTTCCGCCGTCGGCGCCGCGCGTCGAGACGTGAGACTTTACACGAGGAGACGCACGTATCGAGGAAGAAACAGTAGCCAATCAGGCTGGTCGTTGCGCAGAGGTCGAGCGAAAAATACGTTCTCGTGGCTTATACTTCGTTAATTGGAAACTCGAGGTTAATTGCTGGCCCGATTAGGACGCGATTACTCGTCGTTTATCGCCGTTACTTATAATAAATCAGTCGCCCGCGCGCAGATAAACGTTCACGGAACGCCGCGCGGCACCTCTCTTGGCGACTCGCCCTCGGTTGTTGCTCAACCGCCAACGTGCTGCGACTAGCTGCGCTTTTCGTCTCGTATCTCTCGTCCGAGCCGCGCTCGCAATTAACGCGCGATATTTCGCAAATTAACGCGCGAGGCAGGAGCCGGGGCTCGAGCGCAGGAGCGCGCGTACGCGCGACATTGGCGTATAATTCGTCGTTATTAAGTCCCTATTATTAGAGATTGTTATGTATATTTAACACGGGGAAGACTGTGCGCTTTGGTGCGACAAGGTGTTAGTGTAATTACAGTGCGGAGGGAGGGTGAGAGATAACGCGACACAGAGTGGCGTGTGTTACGTACACGAGCGCGGTTCCTCCGCGTGCGTGCGCGCGCGAACGTGTAAACGGGACAGACAAAAGTGGGAAAACAAATTAATCTGCTTAAAGATATCTTGTCGCGCATTAACCGTGCGATTGGCAAGCCAAGAAGCGCAATCGCGCCGTCATTATCGTAGGTGAGTCCCATCGGAATACGCGCGGCGTGGCGAGCAAAAGGAGAACTCGCTCGAGACGTGTTCCGACGAAAGACCTCTCGTCGTCTCCACCTCGCGCTTCTGCGCTCTCTCGCTCGCGCTATCACCGCTCGCATTAATCAACCGCGGTGGCGGTGGGCTCTTTATGCAATTATGGTAACCATCGCGGGCCACGCGCATAACAGCCCGCACAAATCCCGCTGTAGATTTCAATAATTATTAATCGCGGCCAATTAAGAACGCCCTTCGCTTTCCTACGCTTTCCGACGGAAAGTTCTTTCAACTGCCCTGCCTGGGTCTCTCTCCTCTCTCTCTCTCTCTCTCTCTCTCTCTCTCTCTCTCTCTCTCTCTCTCTCTCTCTCTCTCTCTCTCTCTCTCTCTCGTGTGAATTCTTTCGCCCGCCCCGATTTTTCCTCCTGCGGTTCGCCTAACTCACGACGCGTCGTTAATGGAAACATCCGATCGCGCGGATAACGCGCGAGGATGTAAGTTTACCCTGCCTTTTGCCTAATGGAAGCGCGGTCGCTCTTCTATTCGCACACGTCATTCGCATGGCGCACGTGAAATGCAGCGGCGCATTTCTCGGTGACCGAGACCCCGCAGGAAAACCGGACATGGCGTGCCGCTAAAAACCCCCCACGAGTTGATACTTATCATAATACCGGTAGCTTGTGTCCAGAAAGAGGAAAGCCTCGCTTTCTTCTTTCCTTTTTCACTTTCTCCTTCCTCCTTCTCTCTCTCTCTCTCTCTCTCTCTCTCTCTCTCTCTCTCTCTCTCTCTCTCTCTCTCTCTCTCTCTCTCTCTCTCTCTCTCTCTCTCTCTCTCTCTCTTTCTCTCTCTCTCCCTCTCCCCCCTCTCTCTCTCTCTCTCTCTCTCTCGCGTTGCACCCTCGCTTCGAAGAACGAGGATTTTCCATTTGTGGGACGAGTAAAGTGCTTTAAGCCATACCTGGGAAAAAGTCGTCGCTACCTCCACGACCTCCAGACCGTAAGGGTCTGACTCCACTCTTTTCATGTGAAAAGTGTTTTCGAATTAGTCATCGGTCGGCGTAATTTTGGGACAATAGAGCCGATAAGCGCCGTCGCAAATCTTTTTTTGTCTCTCGTTGAATTTCTTTCAGCTAAATTGACTATGTGGTGTCTCTCCTGTGAGGGATAGGTTCCTGTGTTTGCTTTTATCTACTGATCACTATTATGGGCGTAATTTTACAAACATGAACATTATGGTGAAAATAAACTACAGCAGAGAGCGAAAGAATGAAACGAGAAGGTTCTTCCAATTGTCTCAAACAAGGGTTCGTCCTTTAGGGTTTCTAGATCTCGAAGTCGAGATCTTTGAGATCCTTTTAAGCTCGGGGAAACGGAGAAACAACCTCTCGCGAAGACAAACTTCGGGAATAATACGTCGCCGGCGGTCCAGCAACCTGAGCGCTGCGACTCACCGTCTCGTCATCGTCGTCGGAAACTGCCGTAATGGAGCTGTTTTATGCGGGCGTTCCAAATTTTCGGCATTATCGGACACGATCTCGTCCAATTATCTACCGGCGGATGTTATTAGCGTCTCTCTATATCCTGTAGGTCTACATAAGTCTTTCTCTGCGCATTTTTCACCGTCGGTCACCCAAGAATTAAAATACCACCGTGAGAGTGTCTACCGACGAAGAGCGGAGAACGCTGTCGCGCTTGCACGCGAGACCAAGTGCGTTTCTAGATGCGTTTTCGGCCGAAGCTGCGGAATGCGAATGGAGCCGAAGTAAAGGCGCGTTTCTGGAAGAAACGAAGGGGAAAGGGGGGGAGGGACACGAGGTGGTTTTATCGAGACTCGGGTCGGAGTCGTAGAACGAAATAACGAATGGCACTTTAACCCTTCTCGGTCCCGTGGATTCTTTTTTCGCGACGTGAAAATAATGTTCGACATTCGCGGCCGAATAGCGACTTTTATTTGAGCCTGAAAGCCCGTCTATAATTCTAAATAACCGCGATGCAATTTCGGCCTCGGTATGTTCGGTGTCCCGTGTCGCTGGTTGGCTAACTTGCTGGCTGGCTCTCGGTTGTTGCTTCAGCGTTAATCACTTAAAGTTTCGCACGATCGGATAGCGCTCGCCCCCGGATGAGTCCCCCCTCGTGACGACGAGGCTAATGGAGCTGTTCTCTCCGTCGTCTTCCAGATTTCTATTTTATCCGAACACGATCTTGGCTACCAATTGTCGCGGCGATACGATCTATACGAAACCTCCCCGGAGCAGCGACGACGTGATCTCCTGCGTGCGGGGTCCTTTCCTTCTGGTCCTCTCGTCGCCGCGTGCGTGTCCTCCGTCTCTTTTATTTACGCATACACACACACACACACACACACGTATATACACGAGTTCCGCGACTTGCACTTGCATTCCTCTTCTTCTTGTCTCGGCTAATTCGACGTCTGTTTCGGGAGTACGTGTTTATTTGAACTAGCAACGGCTCGTTGTAACAGTACGTCGGATCGGCAAGGTAATGTGACAGTAATTAGATGTCAGCGGGATGGAAATTGCGCGGTGGACGATCACGCGTGAGTGACCTGGCAGCTCTCGCCGTAAAGAAGGGAAGAACGCGTGGCGCTCGCTTAATCGCGACTCCCCGTGCGCGGGAATTAATGAATCGACCGTGCGCGATCCTTCTCGGCGGGCGATCAAAATATCTGACGCACAGTTAAGGCATTCTCCTGTGCTCTTCAAGCGCACTCGACCCGCCGCGGTATTACCGCTTACGGCCATAAGTGCAATCATCATCGCGAATGGCGAACGAGCGCATCGTGCCCTCGCGAGTACGGATCGTTCACTCGTAAACCGCTATCGGATCGTAAATTCGATCTTTGACTACCGAAATATTTATATCGTACGTGCCGTACGAGCTCTCTCGATCGATCAATATAGCGTCCCCCGTCGCATGTCGTCCCATGTCGTCGTCGTCGTCGTCGTTGTCTTTCTCATTCTATTTAATTAACAGCGCCGTTCCTTCCGCGAGTAAACAGCGGCGAGCTTTTTTACGATTTCGATTGCGCTATTGAGCGATATTGAGAGAGAGAGAGAGAGAGAGAGAGAGAGAGAGAGAGAGAGAGAGGGGGAGGAGGGTAGGAAAAGAGAGAAGAAACCCACCCCCTGCCGATTTTATGAAGTAATTTCGTGAACCAGCGTCTGTCATAACGATGCAGATTTAGATTACTTATTCTTCCTTTCCTCGTACACGCATAAAATGCTGTCCCGTCGTAAATTCTTACTGCTTTTCTAAGAGCACCGTGTGTCGATATCACGTCAAGATACGAGAGAGAGTATCTTCGCCGTTCTTCTCCAGAGTTCCGTTCTCAAACGTAATGATCGACTCGAGCTCTGCGTGAATAGGATGAAAAGTTTCTTGTTCCCGAGGGAGTAGCCGGAGTGCAAGTCACTTCGCACACATTGTAACTAAGTT